GCAAAAGAGAAAAATTACATGGTCACTTCAATAGAGGCAGCAGGAAAAGCATTTGATAAAATTCAGTATCTATTTCTGAAAAAAAAAAATAACAATCTAGAAATAGAAGGGAATGCCTTTCATCTTATAAAAGGAATTTACAAAATATCTACAGCAAATGTCATACATAATGGCGAAATACTGAAAGATTTCCCTTTTCGACTGAGAATTAACGAAGGAAGTTGATAATACCACTTGTACTCAACATTTATTGGAAGTTCTAGTCAATACAGTAAGCCAAGAAAAAGACAAAGAAAACGCATGAAAATTTTAAAGTAAGAAATCAAACTGTCATTATTTTGATTGCAGATATAGAAAATCCAAAAGAATCTACAGAACTGGAATAAATGGTGCAGGGTCAATTGGATGTTTACACAGAAAAAGGGGATCTAGACTCCCATTTTGCACCATACAAAAAAATCAATTCCAGGTAGATTGTGAATACACATATGAAAAATAAAGAACCAAAGCTTCTAGAAGATAACATAGGATAATATCTTTATAACCTTGAGACAGGGAAAAATGTTTTAAATAGGACAACAAAAAATACTAACCGTACAAGAAAAAATTTATTAATTGGACTATATTAAAATTAGAAACTCTGCTCATCAAAAAATACTATTAAAAAAGTGAAGAAGCAAGTAAGAGTGGGAGAAGATATTTGTAATACATATAACCAACAAAAGGCTTATATCCAGAATATATAAAGAACTCCTACAAATCAATCACAAGAAAGACAATCCAACAGAATATTAATCCAGAAGATTGAACAAGCACTTTAAAAAGGAGGATGTCAAAATGGCCAATTAACACAAGAAAAAATGCTGAACTTCATTAGTTACGAGAGAACTGTAAATTAAAACCACAACAAGGTATCATTACACACCAACCAGAATGGCTAACATTAAAAAGACTGATAATACCAAGTGTTTTAAAGAATATAGAACAAGGAGAACTCTCGTGTGCTATTCGTTGGGGGTATTAATTGGCTCAAACACTTAGGAAAACAGTTTGACAGTACCTACCAAAGCTGAACATACGTATATCCTATGAGCCAGCAATTCCACTCTTAGGTACATACTCAGTGAAAAAGACAGGTAAAAGAATGTTTTAGCAGCATTATTTGAAATAGTTCCAAAATGGAAATAACACAAATGTCTATCAACAATAGAAAGGATAAATAAATTGTAGTATCACTGTTTGTAGTATTTATATATCCTGGAATACTATAGAGAAACAAAAATGAATAAACTACAGCTATGTGAAACAATATGGATGATTAATCTCTCAAACATAGTGTTGAATAAAAGAAGCCAGACATGAAAAAACACGTATGATTCTACTTACATAAAGTTCACAAATGGACAAAACTCATTTATGATGTTAGAAGTCTGCACAGTAGCTACTTGGGACCAGGGTGGAAGTAGTGACTGGAAGGGGGCAG